TGCACGCACGTACGCATGCACGCACGCGCACAAACACACACAGTGTATACCATAAAGCTCCTATAGTATAACACTCGATAACACACGTGTCACCACACACACGCATGCACGCACGTACGCATGCACGCACGCACGTGCACACACAACACGTGGTTATAGCCTCCGAAAAAGAAACATAAGAAGCATGAAAGACCATTTCCCTCTACGAGACATCGAACGACAGCGGTGACGAGATGACGTGAACACTCGCAAACAGTTCACACTTTGCGAAGCCGACAACTTTGAAACCGGGAGCACGCACAGCGCACCTAACTCACTATGTTCCATTTACTGTTGTCGCAGTTGCTTGCAAAAATGACACCTGCTGGGACTGCCTCGCCCACCTAACTCACCTGATATTCCATTTACTGTTGTCACGGTTGCTTGCGAAAAGGACAACTTCGAAACCGGGAGCACTCGCTGGGACTGCCCCACCCACCTAACTCACCTGATATCCCATTTACTGTTGTCACGGTTGCTTGCGAAAAAGACAACTTCGAAACCGGGCGCACTCGCTGGGACTGCCTCGCCCACCTAACTCACCTGATATCCCATTTACTCTTGTTGTGGTTGCTTGCGAAAATTACTTAGAAATTGAAAGCACGTGCAGAGACCGCCTCCTTAACTCACCTGATGTCCCATTTACTCTTGTCTCGGTTGCTTGCGAAGTAGAGCAGCGAGGCGGCGAGTGGAGTGAAGCCGGCCTTGTCGGGCTGGTCGAGCAGCTCCTTCTTACAGTGCTCTGTAATGCGCACACACCATCAACGCGTTAACGTATCAGTCTACACTAGCGGAGAGGAATTTCACATGGAATTCTACACTAGAGGAAATTCAATGGAGACAGCCCTGGATTCGTTACTTGCAGTGGCCCGTACAAAGTTTCAGCGATGGGGCCGTGCAAGAAATCTTTATGACAAGCGCACTTGGCTCACACTCAATCATTTTAAACGTGTAAATGTTGTATATGTTAACCAATGTGAAAAAATAAAAAATAAAAATAATCGGTATGATTTTGATTGATTTGTTACTACAAGTAAAAAACATCTAAAGACGAGGATGTTTAAATCCTTCGACGCATGTTTTTAGAAACTCCAGAGTATCACAAATGTAGTAGTTACAGATCTCTATTATCCACTCCTGACTGCCTGATAAGATTAGTACTAGCTCAACTGTTTTTCTCCCAAACCACTACAACAGAAATCGCTCTTAGAAACAGACTTATACTTCTCGACACAAAAAATATCTTACAAGAAAAAACCTTATCAGGACTAGCATCGTGACAACACCACGGAAATTTCTTTGTGGTCACAAATGTCACCCTGGCCACAATCGTTTCGACAACAGAACAGAAATTTCATCGTAAACCTAAACGTGAAGATCGTTGGTCGCGATCGTTTAGACATCGCGACCCCGCGCGCACTGCTCGGCGAAGGTCGCGACCCCGCGCGCGCTGTTCGGCGGAGAACGCGACCCCGCGCTAGTTACCTGCGAAGAAGTGGATGAGTGGGATGTTGTGCTGAGCGGCGGCGTAGTGCAGCGGCAGGCATCCCTTGTCGTCGGTCTGGTCCAGCGGAACACCGCGCTCCATCAGCTTCTTCGCCACCTGTCGCCCCCGGCAACGAAACAAACGCAGCTCGAGAAGATGGCATAAGCCGCTACGACCCCCCCCATCTTTGATGGAAATTCGCGAATGTCTTGTGGCGCATGCGCTCGGGGAATCGCCCGTCGCCGTGAATTTTACGGTGGGGATTGGTTATTGCAATATTCGTAACGACGTATTAGTGATCTTTCGGCAAAAGGTGACAAAGTGAGGAAACAAACAAAACGCCCGAAAAACACGAGGATGGAGACTCACCGCCGTCTCGAGGTACAAAGTGTAACAAGAGCCGCAGAGCGTCTGGGCTCATCTGAGGTCTGTTGCTACGATTATAAACGTAAAATTTCAGTCGTGCGTAA